CCTGACTTTCGGCAATGAACTGTCAGTTGTTGCGTTAGCATTTGATGTGGCGATGGTGACAGACACGTCAAATGCAAACGCAACACCTGTTGCGTTCAGGAAACCTGGGAGATTTAACATTACAATAATGGCAGATTATCGAAATATAATTTAAAATGGCCACATTACATTGAATTTGATGCAACATATTAGCAAAAGTACAGGAAAAATAAATAATACTTTTTTTAAAATAATGCAATGAAATTTAGGGGGGCTAAAGACATTTTTAGGGAGGCTGAAGCCTCCCTAAAATAGGCCTAATGACGCCCATGCTGTGTGGTATGGTGCTTGCACTGTGTCCTGCCAAAAAACTTTTCAGCGCACCGTGAGAGCAGCTGAGAAGATCATTGGTGTGTCTCTCCCCCCACTCGTGGCCATTTACTACTCCCGTATGACCCGCTAAGCCATCCGGATCGCAGGTGAACCCACCCACCCTTCCCACAGCCTCTTCGGCCTGCTGCCATCGGGAAGGAGATTGCGAAGTCTCCGTGCCAGAACCAGCAGGCTCAAAAAGAGTTTCTTCCACCAGGCGGTCAGGAGACTCAACTCCCTCCCTGCTCTGCCCGCACTGCCCGCCCTCTGCCTCTGCCCGACCCCTGCCTCCTGTCACAGACTATGACCCTACCCTCATCATCCGACATCTGCGTATTGCACACTGCACTACCTCACTTTACCCACAATAGCCACAAGTGCCATTGTTTATGCTGTTTACATTGTTTATATTGTCTATACTGTTTATACTGTTCAGATTACATATTATGTCTTTTAACAGTGTAGCTGCTATCTTGTCTTAGCTGTGTGTGTTAATGCACAGTATGTTTGCATGCATGTTTGCACTGAGGATGGAGAGGAAGAAATTTCATCGATGCTGCATGTCATACATAAAGCATATTTGACAATAAAGATGACCTTGACCTTGACCTTGAAAATCAAGAAGTCCTTCATACATGTGGTCGTTTTCACAGGATTTTTGACATTCTATATTTACAGTTCTCAATCTAGCTATGGATGTTTTTTCAAAATTGTACCGATGATGCAATGTAAAAGAAATGTGTCATTTATTTTTATTGAACGTTTATGCTTGTTATGCCATGTTTCTTTACAATCTTCCCTTTGTAATTTTTTTTTTTTTAATTATTGGACCAGGTACTAAATACAGTCCTTCCAGCATGTGCTCGGTCTGCAAGAGGTCTCCTCCCGGTTGGACATGATAGTAACAAGTAAGCAAAATAGATGTTTGTGCCACCTCAACTCTCTCCTGTTAATGTGGAGGAGGAGCAGAATGCTGAGATACTAATTCTACATCTGTGGCAGGACTCAGTTGCCAACCTGGAAAGAACAAATTTTCAAAACTAGTATTACAGCCTTGTGATTTTTAGGTAATTCTCATACCAGCAGCTTCACACGCGAATCATCGCGACAGCTCTGTTTTATTTCCGTTTTAATACTATCGTATTGCACGGCCCCAGAAACTGCCGTGTGAACGCAAGTGGGGCTGCACGGGGTAAACACGCTTCTCTTTAATCAGCAGCTTTTTACGTGTAAACGCTCCACAAAATTTGCACCGGTGTAAGATATATCGCAACAAAATATGTCGGTGCAGCATTGATGCAAATGTGTGCCGTGTGAACACCCTCTGAGCAGGGTTAAATTTGCTCCGGTTTAAGCTGTTTTCAGGGGCTACACCGGTGTAACTGTACGTGTGAACGCTCTATGGGGGCAGCCCCGGTGCTGCACCGGAGCAAAAGTTGCCGTGTGAACACCCCTTTGGGTGAGTTGAGAGATGTGATCAATGTTCAAGCCATGTTTAAAGTGGTGATGTACAGTGAGGCGGATGGATGTGCTAACCACTCCTCCGCCATACCACTGCAACCAAACAATGCACACAAAAACATTCCGGCAGCTTCTTTACCTTTTCCATTGTTGCATTATTACTGTGTTTATTCTGCATCATTCCCACACTTCTGTTATTGCTCACTCTAGGCTTGGTCCTGCCACTCTTAATCAGTGCAAATTAAACATTCAGATTCAGATTCAGAAAACTTTATTTATCCCCGTGGGGCAAATAGAGTTGTGCGAGAGCGGCTTATTATAGAGACAGTCAGAGCAAAGGAAAAATATAGGATGAGAGTAGCTTAGCACTTGAGGTCTTAAGGTAGTGGCTCCAGCATCGAAATGGTATTGCACATCGAGCAGTATTGCACAGTAAGGACACAGTAAAGACAGTATTGCACATGAAAACAGTATTGCACGTCAAAGTATTGCACTGTAAACCTGTATTGCACAATGGGGTGTGTGAGTCTGTATGGTGGGGGGGAGGAGTGTCAGGGATATTGGAATAAGAGTTTAAGAGTTTAAGCGGAGAACAGCCTGGGGGACGAAGGTGGATCTCCTTCTCGCTGTCCTGCAAGCTGGGAACCGCAGCCTGCGGCCGGAAGGCAGCCATTCGAATGCGGGGAAGAGAGCATGTGAGGGGTCCTTCGTGATCTGAGCAGCCAGACCACGAATCTGCTGCTCGCACACTGCAATCAGAGGGCGAGTGGGAAGTCCGATGATCTTGGAGCACACTCTGCTGATGCTGTCCAGGCGGTTCTTCTCCTGCAGACTTTGGGAGTGGAACCAGCAAGCCATAGAGAACAAGAGGACGGACTCTATGAATGCCTGATAGAAGGTCAGGAGGATTTTCCTGCTGACGGAGAAGGAGTTCAGTTTCCTGAGCAGGTACATCCTCTGGTGGCAATTTTTCAGGATCACCTCGGTGTTGGAGGAGAACCTCAGGTTATTGTCCAGGATGGTCCCCAGGTACTTATATTCGGATACAGTTTCCACCATATGCTA